ATGAAATAAAAATAGCACAGGAATCATCTTAGTAATAAGGTATACGATTTTTTTTCTAGCCCAATTTAATTTTATTTAAATACATCATCCTAAATATAGGTTCTATCGTAAGGCATTCTTCAAAGCCTTCACATAAACTAAGCAACGAAAGACTTGTGCTGTTGACTTAAAATAATCTAACTAAATCATCTTGCAGTCTTGTCCTTCTTTCCTACAGTTTCAAGGCTTATTTTTCTAATTAATTTAAATTTATATAGTCCTTACACATTATTAGTAATAATTCTTATTTTTCCTTGAGGCACTGACGATACTATGAAGATGCATCTTCTAAATTTTCATCAAATGAAATAATATCCAAGAGCTACCCATGTGTTTTTTAATATATCCTTTGTGCCTCCAATTCAAACTACTAAGAAGCCAAATTAAAAATATATTTCAGCAACATTTTTTATCTTAGAGTAATTCGCTTGGAGTATTTTTCTTTGTGTGAAAGAATTTCTCTAAAGGATGTTGTCTAATTTTTAGTCCAGTTAATCATAAACGCATAATAACTAAAAAGAAAATCACTTGATTGATTCTTCAGCAACTTGCATTCTGAAATATAGGTATTTCTAATATAATACTCTAAGTATTATTTTCTAATGTTATCGCCAACGAAGTCATTTTTAGTAATTTCTTCATCTTACTTTTCATTAAACAATAGTTAAAAAGGCTCCATAAAAATAATTTACATATTTTCTGCAAAAGCAGTGAGGATATTCTTCACAATTTAAGTGATGCTCTGTAACGATTTTTTCTAAAATTTACAATAATAAATTGGTAATTCATTTTTATTATATTTTAATAACTAGATGCATTTGATTATTTGATTGATAACTTAACTTCCCTTTTTTGCTTAAAATATTCCCATACTTACCTTTTGATAGCTACTAAAGGGAAATATCCTTAGCTCCCATTTTATTCAAATACCATTAAATCTTAACTTTCAAAAACTTAGTCTTACCTTGATAGAGTTATGGATAATTTCTAAAAATATGAAGATTATAATGGTTACATGCAGAGCTATTATGATAGTTTAATGATACCTTTAGTTAAATCAGATATTTGCAAAACTTTGAATGGTACTAATCCTGTTTATTTTAGAGAAATTAGCTTTGATTATGATAATTGTGTTAGTTGTCTAAATGGGATTTTTTAATAGGGTTTGG